TAAGAGTCAGAATACTAAATAGGAGTAAAAAAAGTTTTGTTGACGATATATTATAGTCGTCGTTCCATATTCGAAACAAATTTCAGACTTTAATTTCATCATTGTATACCATGATAGGTATTATAACACATGCAATTTCAAAATATCCCATTTCAAATTAAAAATTCAAATTTCCCGCCCAACCATTTCCATTTTTAGTGTCGAACAGCTGACGTTGCAGATGTAAGCGATGTAAACAAACAAGTGTCAATGATCCGTAACTTATAGCTGAATTCTACTGATTTACACATTTATCATTGGATATTTTTTGGGAAATCAGCACTTCAATATGGTAAGGATGTATTATACATTGCAATTATCCGAACTCTTGTAATATTTCTTGGTAAATAAGGGGAAAAAAGGGTCGGTTCCCTGACGACAGGTCCCACGTCAGCTATGGTACACGCTGTAGAATATATGAATGAGGCTTTCATTTAGTTTAACTTGCCAGTTTTCTGTTGATTATCGATTTATATTTGAATTATGTGATCGATTCTATAACATGGGCTTTTAGACTCTCTTTTAGGAATGAGAAGTATGACAATGAATATTTATGATTTCTTGACCGGCAGTAGATCAAAACGGGATAATACCGAACTAATATATGCACTTTATTTGTTATTGCTCTATATTTTAATCAGTTTTACCCAAAACAACCCCAATTATCTTCTTTTTATGGCTCTACACAGTCGTTATTATATGTAAAGAGGTATCAATATGAAAGAAGAAAGTGTATGTCATGGTCTTCGCACTTTGCACTCTAGTAAAGGCCAACAAGTCACTAATGTGTATATTCTAGTAAGATAGTTTGTTCATCACCCAAGGGGGATTTATCATCAAATTAGGAACCAGTTCTTGGTGTATCTTGCCAAATATTTATATATGGGGGAGGTTCAGAGGCAGAAGTCATATTCCAATACTTAATGTTATCAGAACTTGTCACTGACTCACTGGCCTAATGTTGCTATAGAGAAATCCAGGAAGCATGAGCTACTGATGTAGCTGTGTAACTTATTTGAGTATATGAGTTGTACAGTGCAACATATGCATTACTTTGCCTTTTTATAATTGGTTTTACTAGTTAAGTGGTGTATATTAACAATATTTATTTTGCAGGATCTTACCACGTTTTCCCAAGAAAGCTTTGAGCCAAAGGAATGGATTAACAATATCTTCCGAAGCCCAGAAGCGCATCAAAATAGAGATGTAAGCATATTCTTGTAGAATAGATTTTGCATTTTTTATTGATTTATTACAGGTGTATTGCAATTTGGTTGTGACTATCAGTTTTATGAAGTTATGGACATTGATTGCTAGGAAAGTTTTTTAAGTAAATTATAGTGTCTAGTTTTAATGAGAAGCTGAAAAAAAAGCTTATATATCATGTTACAATGCTTGAAATGTGTATGATGAATGAAAAGATAAGTATACTATGTAAATAATATAATTTTGTTTTTGAAAAAAAGTGACCTGAAATACTCTCTTATTCTTATTTAATTTTACAGCATTATGCATCATCTCAAGTCCTAAGACTTCAACTTGCAATTCAAGAAGTGAATAATGCTTTAGAGGAAACCAGCCAACAGGTATCATTGATATATAGAACATAATCTTGTTGCAAAACATGTCATTCTCAGTATGGTGTAGATGCAGTAATATTTGTATACACAATCTATATTCAGAGAAAAGATGATACCTCGTAAAAGTAAGTGATAATTATTTCAGGTGATGGCCAGCCTGCCAAGGGTACTGAGAGACATAGAATCTCTGGGTCATGAGGTGGCTGTGCTCAAGAACCAGATGAAGAGTGTGAGGCAAGACATTGAAAAGGTGGGGTTCTTTTTCATATCCGTGCTTTAGTAATGAATAAAGTGTGATGTATTATGTTTGTAAATATAGACTGATGTAATATATTGTATTTTTTGTTGTTGATACTACAACGGCATGTGAGAATAAGTGAGTGGGTGAGTGAGTGAGTGAGTGAGTGAGTGAGTGAGTGAGTGAGTGAGTGAGTGAGTGAGTGTGAGTGAGTGAGTGAGAGTGAATGAGTGAGTGAGTGTATGAGTGAGTGTGTGAGTGTTACACTCAGTTATATTTATTTTATTAAATCTTATGCTTTCTTAAATTAAATGCATGTTATTATTCAAGGTTGAGCACAACACAGCTGCCAGCATGCAGACCCTTGTCAAGCTGGATTCCTTGAAGGGAAGATTAGTGGCTTCCTCCCAGGCTCTCCGTGAGGCTGATAATTGGACCACACTTTCCACGGATATTGAGGAGGTAAAGGGATTCTGATTGCTTAAGTAGTAGAATTTGATTATGACTTTTCTCTAAAGTTCTTTGAATTCTTGTGCAGGATATTTGTATAGATGTTGGGCAAACAGAACAAAGTTTTTGTGATAAGATAGTTTTCCTAAGGATAGGATTTGTTAAGAGCTTTTTTCAGATTTTTTTATGTGATTTATATAAATTTTTAAAATGTGATTTATTTAAATTTGTAACAAACCAGTAACATTATCTGTATTAACAGGTAATGGACAGTGGAGATATTGATGCCATTGCCAGCAAGTTAGTAGCCCTCCAGAATTGCCTGGGGATTTTGACCCATGTGCCTGACTATGAAGATCGCGTGGCACACCTTGAAGGTTTGAAGGTCAGACTGGAAGCGCTGGCCAGCCCACACATTGTAGCTGCATTTACACAACATAATCTAGGTAGGTGAAGATATTCTCCAGGTTTATTATTTTTTTTTATTAAATCTTATAAAAAAAACTTCACCAGTACACAGATCTGATAGAGATGAGATTACATGTATATTTTCTCTGTGCAATAACTGTTTACTTTATTATGTGTTTCTCAGGTTTATTTTACAGTTGAGACAATTTAGTAACCATTCATTTTTTAAAGTTTGCTCATACAAAATGCTGCTTGAATTTCAGATGAATCTGTGAAATATGCAAGACTTCTACGATCACTAGGGCGAGTTGATCAGCTGGAAAGTTACTATCACAAGTGCGAGATTGGTCAGCTGGGCACTGCTTGGCGGAATGGAGTTGAGGGGTCCCAGTTAAGTGGCCCAGCACTGTGGCTGACTTCCTTCTATGATAAACTCTCTCTGCTTATTTCAAACCAGGTAAATTTGAAATAGCTTTAATAATCTGTACTGTGTATTAGTAGTAATCTTATACTAACAGCCAACTGACTGAAAATGTCTTTGATTGCAGTTGCGTTGGTGTGGGCAAGTCTTTGAAGGATCTGATGCCAATCTTTTGCTTTCTCAACTGGCTGCTTCTACCCTATCATCGCTTGATCCTCCCATCAGCCAAGTTATTGCAGCTTCAACCAAGCAACAGGAACCACTGGCTTCTTATATCTGTTAAAAGTTCAGGAGATCAATTTTTAAGAGATTTTGAATCTTCAGTTGGTATGGCAAAACCAGGTTAGAGCACAAATGTGGCAATGTAATGTTTTTAACCTATATGTACATCTTATCTCTCTCTCTCTCTCTCTCTCTCTCTCTCTCTCTCTCTCTCTCTCTCTCTCTCTCTCTCTCTCTCTCTCTCTCTCTCTCTCTCTCTCTCTCTCTCTCTCTCTCTCTCTCTCTCTCTCTCTCTCTCTCTCTCTCTCTCTCTCTCTCTCTCTCTATATATATATATATATATATATATATATATATATATATATTATATATATATATATATGTTTTTGGTTTTCTACATAGTTTTTTTTTTAATATGTGTACATACCTCAGAAAAAATAATTTAAATCCATAAGTTTTAAAAAAATCACTTTTTTGTTCCCAACAGGCCAAGAGGTGTTATACCAGTCTCAAAGGGCAGTCGTGCAGGCTATCTACAGCCCATTACAAGAACAAGTATTGAAATATCAAGAATATGAAGAGGCTCTTCTACTGTCACATCTCATCTCTGCTGGTTAGTGATGTGCTTATTTCATAATTTCCATCCTAACTTAGTGGAGAGGAAAGATAAGTAACTAGAAATTACACAAATTTGGTTTGAGAAATGGGCATTTATTTGAAAGAATCAGTAGCTTTCAGAGAGAGTGAGTGCATTGCTGCATTGTGCTTTTTTACGTTTAAATACTGAAAATTAAGTTGTATCTAATTTCTGATAAAGTGTACAGCTACATAGAAAAATGTTGTTAGAAAATCATACTAAACATTCTGACACAAGCAATGATACTTTTTGAAATCTAGTTGTTAACACTACAAAACTGTTGGCATCCCTGATTTTCCAACTACTTTTAGGTATATGGGGCAGATCACGAATTAAGAGGCTATGAATTTGTAGATCATTCTTAAAATGGTATAATACTTTGTTACTAATCCATAAGCTTACTTAAATATATTTTTTGAAATGTTGTGTCAGTTGGTAAAATATGGGAGGAGACAAGTGTTCGGTATTGCCAGATGATTTATATAACAGAAGCTCCTCACAGGGGCGGGTCCAGAAAACTTTCTGGTGGGGGCACAGGGGTAACAACAATAAATCTGGGGGGGCTGCCACATTACATATACAGGGGGGCCATTACGAGGAGTAATGACCATTGGGGGGCACACGGGGTGGCCAATCAGATTTCAGGTGCCACCATGGCAGCCCCGCCTCTGGCTCCTCACAGGCTTGATTGCTATTGTATTATCTAACGAATATTGTCATATTCCATTATGATTAAAACAAGAAAAATAAGATACTGGTAATGTATTCAAGTTCAATATTTTCCGCTTCCATCCTTTGCTGGCGAAACTCCATTCAAGTGTAGAGGCATAGACGCAACTGTGGAGGCACAGCTTTCGTCACATCGTAGATGTTTCCATGCTTGCAAGGCATTATTTATGACTACAACACGATTGCAAGAGTGGTCTTGATGCATGCCTTTTTACATGACTTCCCATATGTTGTCACCTGGGTTGAGATCTGGAGATCTAGATGGATGTGTCAGCAGTGTGATGTTATGGTGTTCATGTAACCAATCCTTGACAACAAGGTTGGTGTGGATGTGGCTGTTGTCCCGAGTAAGATGAAGGGCTCAGTTTCAGGAAACACCATAGCCATAAATGTTGAAAGGAAAACCTCCTCAAAGATTTCTACATATCTGCTTCCAGTAAATCGGAAGGGCCACCATTCTTCAACTCACTGACACCACTTGCATACATCCACCCAAACAACCATGCGGTGATTCAACCACTCTTCCTACTCGCAATCACTCTCTCTAGTTCAAATCAGTTAAGTGATAAGAGGGGGGTGGTGTCATTGCCTACCTGATGTTTTGTTGACGCCATACATATCTCACAGTGTTGGTGCCTTCAGAAGAGAAACTTTTCTCGTCACATTAGTTTGCCTTATCTCAGAATGCCTGTGGCCTATGTGCATATGTGCATATTGCAAGGCATATTCCATGCTTAATGGGCATAAAATCATCTCACAGTGAAACAATATAAATTGACTTTAAGACATTATGATTCAAACACCAATACCAACCCTTCTGTAGCATGAGGATCTGTTTGTTATTGAATGTTTCAACACCCCTCCTAACAATAGTGTTCTGTGTTGCAGTACTGAGGAATCAAGTGTTAAACTGAAAATAGATGTATAATATATTATACACACACACGCCAATGCACAAGCACAAGCACACGCTGATGGCGGGGACATTTTCATCATAGCAGTGGCTTTACTCATGAACTACTGACATTTGTGACTGTGGTTGAGTCCATTCATATGAAGATTATACTAATATGTCTAATATATCCTTTCAGATATTGTAAAGAATGACATGGCGGAAACCTTACGAAGGTTGAGGGAATATTGCAGTAAACTTTCAAGTCAAGCTGAGGTAGCAGCAGACAGATGTTTGCAGGTGTGTTAACACTGTAGTCTGGTGTGTGTGTACACATCCAAAACTGCCAAAATCTAGCCAGTTGGAATAAATGTTGAGTTAGGTGATGTAAGAATAATTATTCTGCATTATTAATTGTGAACTTCAATTATGCATATTTTCCTGATTATTTGAGAGAGATATGTTAAAGCTCTTCAAAATTTCTAAACAGCTGACGAATGGATGGACTTTCCCAAGCTTGGTTTTTGCATTAGCAACTTACATTGAGCAGTTTACAAGTCGATTAGCCCAAACAGTCAGGCATGTAGAGAAACAAAAAACCTCCATAGAAGATGACTGGAATGTATTTACAACATGTCTGAATCTTATACAGGCGGCAGGTAAGAATAATTTTTAATTGCAGTTTATGGTTTTTTAGATAATGAAAATCACAGTTTGTGTCACACAAATGCAAATTTTAAAAAATATTATGCATAGCGTAATATATAAGAGGAAGACAGAGCTTAAGATCTTATTGTATTAATTATAAATGTTGGTTATTTTTAATCATATTTTACATAGGCTTTAATCCAATAATCTTATGAAGTGTAGTAAAAGGAAAGATAATTCTCTGTCCCAAGGTGAGCTGGTAATGGCGGTTGATAACATGGAACACTCCTTGGCCACAATGTTCACTAATGCTGCAGCAAAGTTTATGTGGGAGCCTGCTACACCCTTTACTGCAACTCCAGATCTCCTACTTTTGAAACAAGGAGTTGATAGCTTGAAGCAGTTAGTTGTTATGTTGGTAAGTTGTTTCCATTTTTAATGGTATGGGTTTTGATTTATTATCTTCTCATTTGATTGTATTACAACACTGATGGCTGCCCAACACTTGCTAATGTTATAGAAAATGTAAAGCTTATGTTCTAAAATTCAGACGAAGATGGTCGACTCCTGGAGAACAGTATGACACAGTCTCAGGCACAGTGTCAGAGTACAGTGGAGGTGGCTCTCCATACCATCATGAACCCAGTGTCATCTCAGCTGGCCTCCTTGCCAGACCTACCGGCGTGGAATTCACGTCAGGGAACTACATCACATCTCTCACTGTCTTTTTCACCACAGGAGTATGTTACACAGGTTAGTTTCTTCTTCCTTTCTTTCCTTTTGGAATAGAAAAACAGGGATCAGTGAAAATGTATATTTTAAAGAATGGGTTATGAAAAATGTAAGAGTAATAAGTTATCATATATTCACTACAGATAGGACAGTACCTGATGACACTACCACAGCATCTGGAGCCATTGCTGGTGAATCATAGCCCAGCTCTGAACCGTGCTTTGCAGGAGGCTAATACAACATGTAGCACTGGGTAAGAGGGTGAATTTATGAACTTGGAGTTAAGCAATTTAAACTTATAGGATATATTAATTTCATACTATATGTGAAGGTAATTTTTTTTTTTTTTTTTTAAGAATTAAACATTTTCTCATGACTGAGAAAGTGAAAATAAATTGACTTGCATTCTGAGACTATTACACTATTTTTTCAGGCCATCCGGAAGGGTTGTAAGTGAGAGTGAGGTGAGTGCGGCTGATTTTCTCATCAACAGTGTTGGACAGAACACTTGTAAGCTCTATACAGATGCCATTTTGAAGATCCCAGAGATAACTACATCCATGATCACACAGCTCACTACAGATATTGGTAAGTTGATGCTTGATACGTGCTTTAGATTTTTTTTTTGTATTTCATAACAATGAAATAATACTTGAAGATGTAAAAAGGAGATTGCAGTATATTTATTGGAAACATACATTTCTTCATTGTAGAATCTAAATGCTAAAATAGAACATGCTGTCATCTCTTTACATAATTATACCATTATTGAATATCTCACAGTTATACTGCCATCCTCTGTTATAATACTTTGAAAGCATGCACAGCAATTTTATATTACAGCTGTGGTCACAGATCCTGTGTTCTTAATAATCACTATAATTTCTCTTGTCTTCAGACTATATCTGCAACATCTTGGAGGACCTGGGCGTCACCTCTTGTGATCCACTAGACAAGCTCAACCTCCTTCTCAAAGCACCAGTGGAACAGTATTGGAAGATTGCTCCTGGAAATAACCCACGTCTCATTGCTGCAGTTCGACAAATGCGAAACATTCCTGTACAGTCATAATAATATATCTTTTTTAATTGTTAATATTATCTTTGAGGGTTGGTGCATTTTTGGATGTTTGGATTATTTTATTAATAGAGCAGAATATATATATATTTGATTGGTTGTTTGATTTTCTGTCATATGTATTTGTGAGTAATGATAGCAAAAGTTACTAAATACTGTTATGTAAAAGAATTTAAGTTTAAATTATTGGCTTGATATAAAGCAAAAGGTATAATTTGAATCAGTGAATATTCACAATAATGTTTGCATATTTGTGAATAGATTTTTACTCAACATTCACTGATAGAGTTGCCTTTAAATTGTTTATACTGGTATGAAATATAATTGTTTTATTATGAATAACTGTTATGCTTCAGCTTCCATGAATATTTGGTGCCTTTGTACAAGATAGTGAACATTAAAACATGTTCATTTATTTGTTTATTTGAATAAATGATTTGATGTTTCATGTTTATTTTCTTTCCCCAAATCCTAGGTCACGAAATAGATATAATAGGTTCTAATTATATACAATTCTTATATTTTAGTTATATGGAAATCTAGGGTAGTTAGTCCTGTATCACTGACTAGAACACTAAAATCAACACCGCTGGAGTGCAGTATTTGGTATATTAGAAGACCAAGTTATTTAAAGATAAATTACCTAGTAGTAGCACTGAAATAATTACAAATAAATGTAGAACCATGAATACTAGAACTCCATAAGCAAGAGCTGTAGACTAACTCTTGGGAAGTGTGTGTGGGGGTGTTAATTATGGAGGGGGGACAATGTGGTTGAAAGCAGAGCCATTAGATATGTGTATTTTCCAGTCATCTCGGTGGAAAATGGGTCTGATGAGCGAACATTTCGAAAAGAAGTGCTGTGATGCTTCTCCCTTATGTCTCGCATGGACAAATTGTTAACCTTTTTGTTCTGTTGAGTCTCTGGAGACTAAAGCATTATAAATTAAGTTCACAACTCCCCCTCCCCCCCAAAAAAAAAGATAGGTAACTCGACCATGTTATGACATGTTTGCATTAATCACAGGGTATTAGCCCAAATTAAGATATGTTAGCATTAATGACACAATTAATGGAAGTACGTTCTATGGTGACAAAGAAAATTATTTCCGCACACATAACCTCTAGAGTTCCATGCATTCACTTCATCATCGTAGTTACAAATATATTGCTTTGCTGTGTTGATCTGCCCAGAAATGCAATGAAGCCCAAAGGTGAGGGAAAAAGGTGACGTCATGGGCCGGTAGTATGACGTCACAGGGCATCGACGGAAGATTCGCGTTCTCAGGAATCTCGGCCAAAGGTGCGTCTACAATAGGGGCGGGTCTTCCATGGTGGCACAGGGGGCACCCGGCCATTTATATATAAATATATGATATTTATATACAAATATAAAATATTAACATATAATAATATATAATACACAGCAAGATGAAAACATAAACAATGTATAACTATACAATATAAGTACTGAAGTAGGCTTAATTTTTTGTTTCTTTTGGGCGGTTCCCCCAGATTTATTGTTGTTACCCCCTGTGCCCCCCACCAGAAAATGATTGATTATCATTTATATCATTTATTATCTATATGTATTTTTAAATATTACTGTTTTTGTAATTGTTATTTTGTTATTACCATTGCTGTTAATTTCATTATTATTGTTTTTCATTATCATCAGTCATAATCATTGGTACTGTTACCATCAATATCATCATTTCTCCCTCTTTATTGTCTATATTATTATTATTATCATAATTGTTGTTTTTATAATTTTCATAATTATCATTATTACCACCATTCTTACATTCAGTATTTTGTTCCTTCCATCTTAAGTGTAATATGATCATTATCACTAGTGAGTGACTATCCTTATGCATTACCGTTGTTCATGATCATCCAAGAGACACGCCTGTTTAACCCGAAGGAATCTCACACTCCCAAGGGGCCTTTCCCGCCGCCGTCTTTCCTGCCGTTCCTTCAAGCACCGCCAGGATTCCCGCCAAACCGACCCCCGCCTCACCCATACCCGAACGGCGGCGTGAGAACCACTTGTCCTACGAGGGCTCGGTTGGACCTTTCAAAAAGAGGCGCTGAGAGAATTCGGGGTCATTTTCATCCTGAGATCAGTGCCTTTGCGTGTGTGGTGTGAGGTTATAGTTTGGGTGTCAAGTTGTGCCTGGAGTGAATGGTTTGCCTCGTGGTCGAAGGCGGGAAGGAGGGCGGGAAGCATGTTTTGGTCAGTGCTATGTTGGCTCTCCTCGGCGCAGGGGGACGGAGTCTTCCAGCTGATAGGGATGCACTGGTAATAGGTTTGTTTTGCACCCCAGCAAATACAGCACACACACACACATTTATATGTATCTACATCTATATTTATCTATGCAAAAATGTTTAGTCTACTCTGTAGCTGCTCTCTTACATTTTGCTGATCCAACCAAGATGGTAAAGAATTGTCATTGTCAAGATTGCTTCAAGTTTACAGAAGTGAGAGCTTTTATTACCTTAAAGATCAAGAGTACGACCTGCCTTTTTGCCAAACCCTCACAGATATCCTCACGGGTGACACCCTCCGTAGGAGAGACGAAGATGAAGGAAAACGAAATGCCAATAAAGTTTGTTATTTTTCATTCTGTAATTCAAGCCACATGAGATGAGAAATGTCGTCATAATACACAATCACAGTGATTAAATGATTATTACTAAAAATGATAATCCTGTAATTTGTTTTAGAGATGAGAATTACGAAGCTCTGAAGGCTGGCGGCGTTTTGACCTATATCCACGACGCCCTGGAGAAGGGGCTGCTCCTCCTGCAGTCTCGCCTCGTCTGCGTCGGGTAGGTCCTGGCGTTGTTTTTTTGGTCTTGTTTTGTTTATTAAGTCGATTTTCGTACATTTCGTTCTGATTAGGTCGATTCTTTCATCATTTCTCATTTGTGTTTGTATCTCTCTTTTTGTCTGTCTGTATCTTTCTCTGTCTCTGTCTATCTCGGTATTTTTCTTTCCAAACTCTCTCTCTCTCTCTCTCTCTCTCTCTCTCTCTCTCTCTCTCTCTCTCTCTCTCTCTCTCTCTCTCTTCATGCTCTCTCATGCTCTCTCATGCTCTCTCATGCTCTCCTCTCTCTCCTCCTCCCTCCTTCTCCCTCTTCCATTCTCCCTTCTCCCTCCCTCTCATTCTCCCTCTCTACTCAGGCGAGGAGACGGAAGGAAAGAAAGAAGCAGAGAAAGGAAACACAAAAGAAAGGAAAGTAAAGATAAGAGAAGCAGAGAAAGGAAAAGTAAAGATAAGAGAAGCAGAGAAAGGAAAAGTAAAGATAAGAGAAGCAGCGAAAGGAAAAGCAAAGAAAAGAGAAGCAGAGAAAAGAAACACAAAGGAAGGAGGAGCAGAGAAAAGAAAAACAAAAGAAAGAAAAGTAAAGATAAAAGAAGCAGAGAAAAGAAAAGTAAAGAAAAAAAGAAGTAAAGAGAGAGGAAGCAAAGAGAAGAAACAAGAGAAAGAAAGGCAAGGGAAGAGAGCAAGAAAAAAGAGCAAAGGACAAGGCAGGATAAAAGGGAAGGGACCGACACTAACGCCGCGGTGGCCGTCGACGCCCACAACACACAGAGCAACAACAGGGACTGGAATGGCCACAGAAATTACAACCCCGACTACAACCACAGAAGCTACAACTCCGTCACCGAAAAATACTACAGACGTTACGACAACAGAAATGATCCCTGAAACTACAACACCTGCAATAACCACAAAAGTTACATCTGCAATTACACAATAAGTTACAATCCCTAAATAAACTACAACGAAAGCCACAGAGGGCTCACAAAACCCTGAAATAACCACAGAGGCTACAACCTGAAATAACACAGAGGCTACAACCCTGAATAATAACACCAGAGCTTACCAAACCCTGAAACATAACCACAGAGGCCTAGCAAACCCCTTAAACCACACAGAACTACAACTCTGCAATAAACCACCAAGACTACAACCCTGAAATAACCACAGAGCTACAACCCCTGAAATAACCACAGAGGCTACAACCCCTGAAATAACCACAGAGGCTACAACCCCTTAAATAACCACAGAGGCTGCAACTCCCAACCCTGAAATAACCACAGAGGCTACAACCTGCAATAAACCACAGAGGCCTACAACTTCCTGAAGTAATAACCACAGAGGCTACAACCCCTGAAATAACCACAGAGGCTACAACTCCTGAAATAACCACAGAGCGCTACAACCCTGCAATAACCACAGAGGCTACAACCCCTGAAATAACCAGAGAGGCTACAACTGCCAATAACCACAGAGCTGAACACCTAACACAGAGGCTACAACTCCTGAAATAACCACAGAGGCTGCAACCCCTGAAATAACCACAGAGGCTACAACCCTGAAATAGACACAGAGGCTACAACCCCTGAAATAACCACAGAGGCTACAACCCAACCACAGACAACCCCTGAAATAGCCAGAGAGGCTACAACTGCAATAACCACAGAGGCTACAACTCCTGAAATAACCACAGAGGCTACAACCCCTGAAATACAGAGGCTACAACCCCTGAAATAACCACAGAGGCTACAACCCCTGCAATAACCACAGAGGCTACAACCCCTGAAATAACCACAGAGACTACAACCTGCAATAACCAAGGCTACAACCCCTGCCAATAACCACAGAGGCTACAACCCCTGAAATAACCACCACAGAGCTACAACCCCTGAAATAACCACAGAGGCTACAACCCCTGAAACAACAGAAGCTACAACCCCTGAAATAACCACAGAGGCTACAACCCCTGAAATAACCACCAGACTACAACTCCTGAAAATAACCACAGAGGCCTACAACCCCTGAAATAACCACAGAGGCTACCAACCCTGAAATAACCACAGATACAACTGCAATAACCCAGAGGGAGGCTACACACCCCTGAAATAACCACAAGAGGCTCAACTCCTGAAATAACCACAGAGGCTGCAACCCTGAAATACACCACAGAGGCTACAACCCTGAAATAGCCACAGAGGCTACAACCCTGAAATAACCACAGAGGCTACAACCCCTGAAATAACCACAGAGGCTACAACCCCTGAAATCAGAGACTACAAAATAACCACAGAGGCTACAACCCCTGAAATAACACAGAGACTACAAACCCCTGAAATAACCACAGAGGCCCTTACAACCCCTGAAGAATACAACCCCTGAAATAACCACAGAGGCTACAAACCCCTGAAATAACCACAGAGCTACAACCACCAGAGAGGACAACCCCTAAATAACCACAGAGGCTACAACCCTGAAATAAGGCTACAACCTGAAATAACCAGAGGCTACAACCCCTGAAATAACCACAGAGGCTACAACCCTGAAACAAAATACAAGCTACAACCCCTGAAATACCACAAGGCTACCAACCCCCTGAAATAACCACAGAGGCTACAACCCCTGAAAATAACACAAAGGCTACAACCCCTGAAAACCACAGAAGCTACAACCCCTGAAATAACCTGAAATAACCACAGAGGCTACAACCCCTGAAATAACCACAGAGGCTACAACCCCTGAAATAGACACAGAGACTACAACCCCTGAAATAGACACAGAGGCTACAACCCCTGAAATAACCACAGAGGCTACAGCCCCTGAAATAGACACAGAGACTACAACCCCTGAAATAACCACAAAGGCCCAACATCTGAAATTAACCACAGAGGCTACAAACCCCTGAAATAACCACAGAGGCACAACCCCTGAAATAACACAGAGGCTACAACCCCTGAAATAGAGAAACTACAACCCCTGTAATAGACACAGAGGCTACAACCCCTGAAATAACCACAGAAGCTACAACCCCTGGAATAACCGCAGAGGCTACAACCCCTGAAATAACCACAGAGACTACAAACCCTGAAATAGACACAGAGGCTACAACCCCTGAAATAACCACAGAGACTACAACCCCTGTAATACAGAACAACTCCTGAAATAACCACAAGCTACAACCCCCTGGAATAACCGCAGATGCTACATGAAATAACCACCTTCAAACCCCTGAAATAACCACAGAAATACAACCCCTGAAATAACCACAGAGGCTACAACCCCTGAAATAACACAAGAGGGAAATAACCACTAGGCTACAACCCTGAAATAACCACAGAGGCTACACACAGAGGCTACAAAATAACCACAGAGGCTACAACCCTGAAATAACCACAGACAACCCCTGAAATAGCCACAGAGGCTACAACCCCTGAAATAACCACAGAGGCTACAACCCCTGAAAATAACCACAGAGGCTACAACCCCTGAAATAACCACAGAGGCTACAACCCTGAAATAACCACAGAGGCTACAACCCCTGAAATAACCACAGGGCAACCACAATAACCACAGAGGCTACAACCCCTGAAATAACCACAGAGGCTACAACCCCTGAAATAACCACAGAGGCTACAACCCTGAAATAGCCACAGAGGCTACAACCCCTGAAATAAACCACAGAGGCCTACAACCCCTAAAAACCAGAGGCTACAACCCCCTGAAATTAGCCACAAGAGGCTACAACCCCTGAAATAAACCACAGAGGCTTACAACCCCTGAAATAAGAGGCCACAGAGGCTACAACCCTGAAATAACACAGAGGCTACAACCCAATAAACCAGAGGTACAAAAATAACCAGAGAGGCTACAAACATCCTGAAATAACCGCAAAAGCAAACCTGAAAACCGCAGAGGCACAAACCCTAAATAAACACCTACACAACCCACCAGCAATAACCACCGGGCTACAACACCTGAAACAACCAGAGAAACGGCCTATATATATATACTATATATATATACTATATATATATATATATTATATATAAGTATATATATATATATATATATATATATGTATATATATATATATATATAATATATATATATATATATATATATATATATATATATATTATATATATACATATATGTATATATATATGTATTATATATATATATATATATATATATATATATATATATATATATTATATATATATATATATATATATATATATATATATATATATATATATACAGATATATATATATATATATATATATATATATATATATATATATATATATATATATATATATATATATATATATATATATATATATATATATATATATATATATATATATATATATATATATATATATATATATATATATATGTATATATATTATATATAGATAGATAGATAGATAGATAGATAGATAGATAGATATAGATAGATAGATAGATAGATAGATAGATAAATATATATATAATATATATATATATATATATATATATATATATATATATATATTATATATATATATACCTCTGTGTGTGTGTGTGTGTGTGTATACATATGAGCATATGTTATACATATGATACATAGGATTACCTATATAATATTACAGTTTTATGTAGATTATATGTCTGTATCACAGCATGTGCACAGTCTTGTAACATTATGTTGGCCGAATAAGAGACAGATGATGAGGGAATCCCACGATCCCCCGGCAAGGAACAAGGCCCTCGGAGCCACATCCTTTCTAGGTGGGAAACGCCTTTCTCAAATAGGAAACGCCTATGTTTCTCTTGCCCCGGCTACCCCCCCCCCTGTCGGCGGTCCTGGTCGTTGGTCATACATGTACCTATAGTCGCATTTCCTTTATCATCTTACGTATTTGAGTATTCTAGATATTAAGATAAAAGACGATAAAAAAGGAACCGGCTCCCAGGGTACGGAAGGTGGAGAGCCTGTTGTTGCCTGGTCGAAAATGTCCTTTGTCACCACGTGTCATATCCGGCTTAGAAATACATTTTAATTGTAGTGTGTGTGTGTGTGTGTGTATGTGTGTGTGTGTGTGTGTGTGTGTGTGTGTGTGTGTGTGTGTGTGTTGTGTGTGTGTGTGTGTGTGTGTGTGTGTGTGTGTGTGTGTGTGTGTGTGTGTGTGTGTGTGTGTGTCTGTTATGAGCCAATCGTCAAACTAGATCACAGGAATACAACATATTGTTGAATATGAAGTAGTAAGTACCCCTTGGCAACAGTGTATTCTGATTACACGTTGCATTCACAAACTACAGCTGTGGGGCACAATGGCGTGCAGACGGAGAGGGAGATAAGATAGTGAGTTTGCAATTCACATATAAATCGAATAAAGTGTTTTTTTTCTCATATTTCACCTAGGTTTCCTTATTCCAAACATCTCCAATGCTCACGGTATGTCTCCCTACTCTGTACCTGAGTCACGGGGCACACAATAGGTGAGTCCCCCCGGGTGGGCTGATCTGCGCCGTTTTCGTTCAGCGGCGAACGTCTGGCTGGACTGCTTACGAACTCATCACGTCCCTAGAAATAACGCTTAAATCTTAACAATATTCTTTTTAGTCTCGATTCATATACGCGAAGGAAGTAACAGTATTTGCTCCTATTAAAAAGGCTATATGGCAACCAGAGATACGTAATTAATGTTCCGAAATCAAATAAAATTGGACAAAAAGCAACAGAAAGTGGAAAGCAAGATGCGCCCAACGCCTTGAAGTTCATTAGTGTTCCTGCGACATCGACGCAGACAACGTCCGCGTTTGCTCTTCAGAGAAACAATCTACGTGCTGCTGACGGTAAAGAAAACGTTATAAGGTATAGTTCAAGTGCTCATATTAATTTTACATAAACATGTGCGCACTTTACTGAGCAAGCAGGTCCACAGGTGAACATAAATAATTAAGCATTCCATCCAGGACGCCCAGAACGACAACGGAACCTGCCTTGAATGTCGTGTACGGTTTTGGTCCGCGAGGAACTCATCGCATGGTTTGAATTAAGATCACTTCGGTGTGGCTTCCCTTGCTGCGACAACAGATAGCACTAGTCGTGTTGTTTTTTTGCCGTCCACTTAGCGTCTAAAAAAATCAGACTGTTAATCGTTGACCAATCAGGACAAAGTCAGCTGATAATGAAACAGACACAGCCTACCGTTTGATGCAAGAACTGGTAACATGAGCAGAGCATTTACATACGAGGAATGACTAGTTATCATTGCATTAGCGACAGAAAGTAGGATCACCATCCTTGGAAAATTAGCAAATGAGTATCTATACTATTGGCGGTGTAGTTTCAGTTTCCCAGCCATGGAGTGCAAGGTAAAATTTGTCTGTCAAGGACAGAATGACCGAAAATAGGACGCTTTCCATCTATGGTATTTTCTTCTTGATAATATGGAATTGTGCAACACGCAATACGTTAGTATACATTCACCAGAAAATGTAATGGCACTATGATAGCCAAAGATAAAAACCACACTCACCAGTACATGAAATAATTGGCGCTGGCAAAAAAATAACGTCAGAAAGGAAGAAAATGAGTCGCGACAAACGCCGCCCGAAGACGAGGTGGTCGGGTGGGCGTCCGGAGTGGAGCCTCCTTCGGGAAATGCAGCGGTCGGTGGGTCTCCGGAGCCGAAGTCGCCGGGTTAGGGAGGTCTTGGGTTCTCATACGGCGACGTGTGTGGATTTCCAGGAGTGGCTGGAGTAATAGGGACTTATTATTATTATTATTATTATTATTATTATATTAAGCTATATAATGAGCCACACTGGAAAAAATCGAGATTTATACCACCAAAGGTGTCAGTGCAGGTCAAGATACAGCTAAGAAAGAATGAATAAAAGAAAGTCAGCTAATTACGTAAGAAAAACATGTTAGCTGACGTTTTAAATTTATCAAGAGTCGAAGAAGTTACAATCTCTGAAGGCAATCTATTCCAAAGTCTACAAATAGCAGTAAAAAAGCATCTAGAAAACTGACATGTAGACGATCGACTTACATTAAATGTCATTGAATTGAGGGTCATAGAACTTCTGGTAATTCTTGCAGGTTGATAAAAATCAGCTAAAAGCTTATAGAGGGGATGTGAATTATCGGTTACAATCTTGTATAAAACTGAAAGAGCCCCAATAACTCTACGATGTCCAATGTCCAAATTTAAGTCAGACAGGAGAAATTGATGGCTGTGTGAAACAAAAAATACCTTATTTTATTTGTATCATGGAATATATAACATCCGTAAGTAGTGTATACCCTAACAGCATAAATCCTTCAATATATGATATATTGGAAATGAAACCCAATACTTTTTCTGGTAGCTTTCGTCGACTTCAGCGTTCACTGCCGCCCAAAACGAAGCCTGCAGCCTCTGCAAACACAGCTGAGTGACGCAGCTGGGGGGGGGGGGGTTGCCCCACACCCCCTCTCGAGTCCTCTCAGGTCCTTTCAGGGGAGGGCTTTGCCGCCTCCCATCATCCTCGCTCTCCACCAGGGGGAGTATATATATATATATATATATATATAATATATATATATATATATATATATATATATATATATATATATATTATATATATATCTGTGTGTGGTGTATATGTATATCTATGTATATCTATGTATATTTATATGTGTATGTCTGTGTATACGTGTGTGTGTGTGTGTGTGTGTGTGTGTGTGTGTGTGTGTGTGTGTGTGTGTGTGTGTGTGTGTGTGTGTGTGTGTGTGTGTGTGTGCGTTTGTGTATGTGTATACACAAACGCGCGAGCTCGCACATCCTCTGTGAAGATAACGCCTCTCCCTTTCCGACCCTCAGCCCGACGGAAGATGGCGGCCTCACTCGCCTCCCTGGAGTTCCTGGGCCTGACGGAGGAGCACCTCGAGGCCGTCCTGCGCTTCACCCAACAGCACTTCTTCCCTCGCGAACCGCTGGTGCGTTGCTTCCGCTCGTGGGCGCTTGGTCTCATTTTGCCTGAATTGGACTTCGTTATGGGACACAATTGGGACTAGGATGTCATTCTGATTGCTAGAGTTAGGAGTGATGATTGTCGGAATAGTGAAAAGATATATTGGCGGAGGCTGAGCGCAACGATTTCATCCACAACGCAATATCTAAAGGACCTTCCCCAACCCTTCGTCAGTGCTCGGGCCTCTCCGTGGGCGCCGTGGACCCGCGGGAGGGAACGAGGATGGGGGACGAGCTCCGGAAGTGCCTCGCCTCCGGCCTGTCTGTCGGCGCCTTTGACAGGACGTCGCGCGACCTGGTCGGGATAGGGCTCTCCTACGCATGCGCGAAGGACGGCGAGACGGACGGCGATGCGGGTCTCTCGCCGCCTTGCGAACTGGTATGAGCGCTCACACACGCACGATGAAATGCAGACACACGCACAGACATTCGCTCCAGTGCATGTACATGTCACACATATTGATGATGGTTATCTTGCTGAACAACCGTGACCCTTTGCACACACCTGCTCCATCTGCCTCTCACATATGCCAGCCTGCACATCTGGCGACACCAACATGACACTAATGCCCTTCTTGTCCTCCCTCTGTCTAGCCTCCGACACTCCAGCTGGTCTGATCGATGCAGCTCTTCGTCAGACTCTCAACGAGACGATAACATGTTTTACACTGCCGATCCTTGTTTCTTTTGTGAATGAATCCATGCTCATTGTCAGCATTTTCATGATCCATCATCAACGTTTATGACTTTCATCACCCCATTTTATGCGACTTTCATCACCCCATTTTATGCGACTTTCATCACCCCATTTTATGTGACTTTCACCACCCCAGTTTATTTGGATTGAGAAACAATCCAGCTGTTTTACTGACCTCTTGGACTGTATCCACAAGTTCCTATAGTTCACTCATGCTACTCACAAGCAAAACATCTTTAACATATCTGAAACTGGTTATGATTTTTAAAAAATCCTAAAATGATATTATTTATTCGCTTATTCTTATATCTCAATCATTTTCAGTTTTCCTTTTAGTTCATGTAAGCATTTTCCAGGCATTTTTTTGTGTTTTTTTGTTACGCATTTCCCCCCCAGTTTGCAACCTGCTCCCCCTCCTTCATCCAGTCAGTAACCTCCTCTCCCATTCCCCCGCTCACCTCCTCCTCCTCCTCCTCCCTCGCCCCTCCTGCAGGAAGCGATGTACAAGCGGGACGACCTCGTGTGGGCCTCCGTCGGGCTGTTCGACGTCCCCGGGGTGGAGAAGATCCTGGGGATGAGCATCTGGTGCGTCAGGAGCGACTACGGGCGGCGGGGGATCGCCAGGAAGATCGCCGAGGTGCGCGCCGGAGGAATTGCCCGAGTGGATGGAGGATTGGTTGAAGGATGGAAGGATTGGGGGTTGAAGGATGGAAGGATTGGGGGCTGAAGGATGGAAGGATTGGGTTGAAGGATGGAAGGATTGGGGCTGAAGGATGGAAGGAAGGATGGAAGGATTGGGGTTAAAGGATGGAAGGATTGGTCGAAGGATGGAGGATTGGGGCTGAAGGATTGGGGGGATGGAAGGATTGGGGGCTGAAGGATGGAGGATTGGTTGAAGGATGGAAGGATGAAAGGATGGAAAGGATTGGGGTTGAAGGATGGAAGGATTGGGGGTTGAAGGATGGAAGGATGGAAGGATTGGGGGCTGGAAGGATTGGGGGCTGAAGGATGGAAGGATTGGGGGCGAAGGATTGGGGGCTGAAGGATGGAAGGATTGGTGAAAGATGGAAGGATTGGGGCTGAAGGATGAAGGATTGGGGGGAAGGATGGGGGGCTGAAGGATGGAGAAGGATGGAAGGATTGGGGGTTTGAAGGATGAAGGAAGGATTGGGGGTCGAAGGATGGAAGGATTGGGGGCTGAAGGATGGAAGGATTGGGGGTTGAAGGATGGAAGGATTGGGGCTGAAGGATGGAGGATTGGGAGTTGAAGGATGGAAGGATTGGGGGTTGAAGATGGAAGGATTGGGGTTGAAGGATGGAAGGATTGGGGTTGAAGGATGGAAGGATGGGGGGAGGATGGAAGGATTGAAGGATGGAGGATGGGGGTTGAAGGATGGAAGGATTGGGGTGAAGGATGGAAGGATTGGGGTTTGGAAGGATTGGGCTGGGAGAAGGATGGAAGGATTGGGGGTTGAAGGATGGAAGGATTGGGGGTTGAAGGATGGAAGGATTGGGGGTCGAAGGATGGAGGGATTGGGGGTTGAAGGATGGAGGGATTGGGTTGAAGGATGAAGGATTGGGGTTGAAGGATGGAAGGATTGGGGTTGAAGGATGGAAGGATTGGGGGAAGGATGGAGGATTGGGGGAAGGATGGAAGGATTGGGGTTGAAGGATGGAAGGAGGATGGAGGATTGGGTTGAAGGATGGAAGGATTGGGGGGTTGAAAGGATGGAAGGATTGGGGGTTGAAGGATGGGAGGATTGGGGGCTGAAGGATGGAAGGATTGGTTGAAGGATGGAAGAGGGTTGAAGATTTGGGGTCGAAGGATGGAAGGATTGGGGGTCGAAGGATGGAAGGATGGGGGTCGAAGGATGGAGGGGGGTTGAAGGATGGAAGGATTGGGGGTTGAAGGATGGAAGGATTGGGGTTGAAGGATGGAAGGATTGGGGGCTGAAGGATGGAAGGATTGGGGTTGAAGGATGGAAGGATTGGGGTTGAAGGATGGAAGGATTGGGGGTTGAAGGATGGGGATTGGGGCTGAAGGATGGAAGGATTGGGAAGGATGGAAGGATTGGTTTGAAGGAGGGTGAAATGGAGGAAGGTTGGGGTCGAAGGATGGAAGGATTGGGTTGAAGGATGGAAGGATTGGGGGTGAAGGATGGAGGATTGGGTTGGATTGGGGTCGAAGGATGAAAGATTGGGGGCTGAAGATGGAAGGATTGGGGCTGGGGGCGAAGGATGGAAGGATTGGGGGCTGAAGGATGGAAGGATTGAAAGGATTGGGGGCTGAAAGGATGAAGGATTGGGCTGAAGGATGGAAGGATTGGGGGCGAAGGATGAAGGATTGGGGCTGAAGGATGAAGGATTGGGGGTCGAAAGGATGAAGGATTGGGGGCTGAAGGATGAAGAGGATTGGGGCTGAAGGGAAGGATTGGGGTTGAAGGATGGAGGATGGGGGGTCGAAGGATGAAAGGATTGGGGCTGAAGGATGAAGGATTGGGGTTGGAAGGATGGAAGGATGGGAGTTGAAGGAGGAAGGATTGGGGGTTGAAGGATGGAAGGATTGGGGGTCGAAGGATAGAAGGATTGGTGGCCGAAGGATGGAAGGATTGGGGCTGAAGGATGGAGGATTGGGGCTGAAGGATGAGGAAAGGATGGAAGGATTGATGAAGGATGATTGGGGGAAGGAAGGATTGGGGTGAGGATGGAGGATAAGGATGGAGGATGGGGGTCGAAGGATGAAAGGATTGGGGTTGAAGGAGGATGGAAGGATTGGGGGCTGAAGGATGGAAGGATTGGGGACTGAAGGATGGAAGGATTGGGGGTTGAAGGATGGGGATTTGAAGGAGAAGGATTGAAGGATTGGGGCTGAAGGATGGAAGGATTGGGGGCTGAAGGAGAAAGATTGGGGGCTGAAGGATGAAAGGATTGGGGGGTCGAAGGATGAAAGGATTGGTTGAAAGATTGGGGTTGAAGGATGAAGGATTGGGGGGAAGAGGAAGGATTTGGGGTTGAAGGATGGAAGGATTGGGGTTGAAGGATGGAAGGATTGGGGGTGAAGGATGGAAAGGATTGGGGTTGAAGGATGGAAGGATTGGGGGTTGAAGGAGGAAAGTTGGAGGTTGAAGGAGGAATGAAGGATGGAAGGATTGGGGTTGAGGTGAAAGGATTGGGGGCTGAGGAAGGACTGAAGGATGGAAGGATTGGGGCCGAAGGAATGAAGTGATGGGGGTTGAGGATGGCAAGGATTGAGGGTCGTGGATGAAAGGGGGGAATAGAGGGCTGGTGGATGAAAGGAGGAATTGGCTACCCAGTTGGTGGATGGAACAGGGTTGATTGGTTTGATGGATGGATTGGTTGATTAGCGATTGCTTGACGGCGGATGAAAAGATTGGTTTGTTGATAATCTGAGCCTCTATCCACTCTCAGTCTCTCTCTCGGTCCCAGCTTCCTCTCTCTCTCTCTCTCTCTCTCTCTCGTCTCTCTCTCTCTCTCTCTCTCTCTCTCTCTTCTCTCTCTCTCTCTCTCTCTCTCCTCTCTCTCTCTCTCTCTTCCCTCTTCTCTCTCTCTCTCTCTCTCTCTCCTCTCTTCTCTCTCTCTCTCTCTCCTCTCTTCTCTCTCTAGGATTGGTTAGTGGGTGGATGAGGAAGTCGGTTGATGGATGGATTGGCTGTTGGGTGAAAGGGTGGGCTCGTTGTTCGGTTGATTGGTTGGAGAGACTGGCTGTCAAATGTTGCTAAGGATCAATGAATGCTTGACACACAATGTCAGATATTTTTCTTGTGTATTGTTGAGAAGAGAAACAATGAAAAAAAAGATCGTTACTGAGCAATGCGCGTGTCTTGTCTGCATCTATACACTGCATGTCTGACAATCCCCTGTTTCTTTTCGTTCTGTTTCATCCCGTTGCCGCCTCATCTTCCAAGTTTCTTTAAGCTCGACTTCTTCAAGATTCTCCGTCACCAACTCTATTTTTCAAGTTCCTTCTTCAGTCTTCACGAGATTATCATATCAGCCAAGACCTCCAACAAGTGTCTTCAACTTCTAAACTCCTTCAACCTTAACTCATTTTCCAAGTTTCGCCCACCTGGACTCCTTCGAGATCCTTCCCAACCACCAAACCTTCTTCTAACTGCCATTCCCCTTCCTCCGCGCCCCCAGCTGGCCATCGAAGCCGGGAGGGCCGCGGGCTGCCAAGAGGCGCGTCTGATCGCCAGCAACGTCTTCACTCAGTCCCTGTTCTCCAAGATGGGCTTCGCGACCCGCTTTACCCTCGACCTGACCTCTGACCCCGACATCGACGTGGCGGCCATGGGAGGCACCACGACTTCGTGCCTTATGAGTATGAGGATCTCGTGACGGATGAGCTGTGCTAGGGATCAGAAGATTTTGGTGAAATCTCGGCGAATTTGTGAAAGGACTTAATTGCGCGGAGGAGGAGAAGGAATGTTTAATTTCCGGCCTCGATTAGCCTCACTAAAGTTGGCCAGTAATAGACAATGCTAATTGGAAGGAAAAATAAATAAGGGTGAACGTCTAACATTGGGCGATTTTTGATATCCTATTTCTAACTTGACACTTCAGTTTAATATGATAACTGTCTTACCGGGTGGACTGTTGCAATACTGATTCTCTCATGCCAAAGCAGTTACCCAAACTATTGTTTGACTGGATATATTTCTTCAGGAGTATTGTACAGAATTTTCTTAGACAACCAAAATATTTAAGCATTTCTAGATTCTAGAATCTTAAAAATATGAATCCTGCAAAAATACTTGTCTATATTACACCCACAAACAACACATAATACATATATGTTTTATTCTATGTCTGTTTATTATCTATCATCCACTCCATATCCGAATTCAACATATCCTTTCATGCTCTATTCCCACTTTATATCCTACGCCTAATAATCATAACAGATATATCTCATTATCTATTCTGATACTCCTTATAATCCTTCGCATCAGTATATATCTTATCCAAGTTCCGCGAAATCATGAAATATCAACTGCTTCTTCCTTTATCGCGCGCAATTTATATATATCTCATGGTATGCTATCTAGTCTATTTATCTATACTACATCCTATTCTATTTATATCTACTCTATTATCATCATCTATCGTATCAATACTATAATACTAATTACTTATCTTTAATATAAAATATTATAGTATATAAAAACGTTAGATTCATCATCAACCTCCATCTTCTATAATATTTGGGACACACACACATACAAAAATACTATATATATGTTATGTATGTAATACTCTAATATATTGTATTAAACTTATATATCTTATATAATTTTGTAATATATATTATAACATATATAATTTATATATATATATATATATTACTAGTTATAGATATATGTATTAATATATACAATAATATTATTTACATTATATACCTTACGTTTATACTATTAATTTTACCTACACTATAACTATTATACTAGTAAATAAATAGTTATATATATATATTTATATATATACATATATACTATGCATATTATAAAACATCAGCTCTATCTATCTACCTATCTAATCATCTATCTATCTATCATATCATACTCTATCTATTATACTACACAACACATACATACATATTGATTTATATTACTTATTAGTATATATATCATATATATATTATTTATTAATTTATATATGATTATTATCATATATATTATTATATATAGATCTTCGTTTTCTGGAATTTTAATTGGAATTTGCTTTCTTAAGTGTTTACTTTAGTTTATATCAATTGTTTCTATTACTACTTCGGTTTGCTGTCTGAAAAAAAGTTGTTTAGTAGAGGCTTGTTGTTTATTTATTGGTTGTTGTTGATAGTGTGGAGGCGGTTGGTCTCGTTGTAACGTGATGGACCTACCGACATTTCTCCAAGTAGATTATTAAGAGTGCTCTATATTCAATTTTTGAATTTTGGAAAATGTCTGTGTTTTGTTCTTATTCGGCATAGAAGATCAAATTAACCCAGTTTCCATGTTCGGCAAAATCGATTTCTGCATCTCATTGCATCTTACTTTATGAATTAATTTGTTTATCGCACAATGGGATGTGTTTCAAATTCCCTTATTTTTGTTTATCATTCAGCGCTGACAATGGGTGTTAATCAGATCGTTATATCCTTGAAGAAGCTTCTGATATTATTTCTATCATTTAATGGCTCTCTGCTGATGTTGTCCATTCTACTCCACGGGCGGCAGGAGGATGTTTTACTGTTTGGTGTTTAATGGTGCGGAGGAGGAGGGGTTTTTGCTATTCTTTATCACCTGTTAAAAATGGCAATTTGTCTGGTTCAACCATTATCTTGTTGCTAAAATATCTAAATAGGCGATGATCCCTCGTTAGCGTATGTTCGCAAGATAATTTAAGGGATCGTAATGGTTAGATCACCGAGAAGTTTTGGTGACTGTTGTCGCTTTTGTTTTTTCTATAATTTAAAGATTAGTATAAAAGCTCGTGAATCTGCAATATGAGGCTTGGAGGATAACATCTGTGTGACAATATAACTATCGGGTCTGTGGTTGTTCATTCATGACATCTAATATAGAAAGAGAAGTTACTGTATCCTTGTAAGCTTGTTAAAAGTTGTTTTAACTGTATTACTTAATTAATGATATCCCAGGTTAGCTTTGCGCATGTTGATTGTTTAGTCGTTAATTTAAATCACATAGATGAACTAAGGGTTTTTCTTTTTAATGAATTTGTCTGAAAATATTCTCAAGTACTTCAAAAGATTCTGGCCGTGCATGTGGGTGTTATAGATTGTTGCCGGATCGAGGATGAAGGATGCAATATTATTGTACGGATTACCCAGATGTCCTCTACTCTGTAATCATTTACAGACTGTAGGAGGAGATCTTATTTGATTAAGGCTTCTCTTACATATATGGCAGACTCCACCTCCACGGTCTGCATCACATCTGTAAAATATCGGAAAAGGTTTGGAATCGCTGCTGAAAGCACGGTCGGACTCTACAGAAAAGGTTCTGGCGTTAATGTCCTTGGCCCTCTCGTAGAAGTAAACTGTGAGCTTGAGTAATAATTGTGTCGTCATTTCTTTAAATGCTTTCAATCATTGGAATTAATGTCGAATTTATTTCAAGGAAGTCCTAATACTTCTTAAAACCTGTTGTTGTCGGTGGCAAAACTCGTGATATGCAAGTTACACTCCCGTGAGGACTGGTGGGCACCTTGCGGGGTTTGACGGAGTTGCGTTCCTCTCTTTCGCTTATCTCTATCTTTGTTTATCTTTGTTGACTTGACGCACCCTTCCTCGTCTTGGTGGGGCTGCGGCTGCACGTTTGTTTTTGCAATGTGTTTCCGTTCGTTGACGACGCAGTTTCGGTGGCTTGTGGGGATTACCACTTTAAAAAAGGGAAAGGTAAAAGGTGGGATAAAGGGGGGGAGGGGGGGGCGAGGGCAGGTTACTCCAGGCACGCGGTGGTGCGTGGGCCATTACCTTCCAGGCGACTTTGGGCTGCTTGTCTTTTTGCTTGTCTTTTCTTTCTAAACTGTTTCTCCGTTGCTTCTTGCTGGTGTTACTATGTGTGGAAGCTTCGTATCCTCATTGGCCGGTTCATTGCCGTCTCACCGTCGATTGGGTGACGCTTGCGATAGGCACCGGAGTAGGACGGGAGGGGGGGGGGGGCTGGCGCAGTCAGCAGAGTCACGGGTTCGCGGAGGTCGGAACATGCCGTAGGACGAGGAGGGAAGGGAGAGGGAGGGGAGAGGAATAGGAGGTGAGTGGTTACTCGTGAGGTACTGCCGTGGGAGTTGTAGGGTGTATGGTTGTGCGTGCTGTTCCATTTCGGATGTGAGAGTTATAGACATGTCGTTGACAGGGAGGGAAGGAGGCAGAGAGAGAGAGAGAAGAAGGTGCTAAAAGAGAGAAAGCAGCAGAAGAAGAGAAGTAAAGAGAAAGAAGAAGAGAGCGAGAGGAGAGAGAGACCAGACGAAAGGGAGACGAGGAGACCGAGAACAGCTAGGAGATAGAGAAGAAAAGAGAAGGAAGAGAGGAGGAAAAAGATGAGAAGGAGAGGGAAGAGAGATTAAACAGAGGGGGGAGAAAGGTAGCAGGAGAGAGGGAGAGAGAGGGAGTGGGAGAGGGAGGGGAGAGGGAGAGAGAGAAGAGGAAGGAGAGAGAAGAGAGGAGAGAGAGGGGAGGAAAGAGAAAGAGAAAGAGAGAGAGAGAGAGAGAGGAGAGAGAGGACGAGAGGAGAGAGAGAGAGAGAAGAGAGAGAGAATGTTAGAGGGAAGAGAGTGAGACGAGAAAAAAATTGTTATACTTTGTGTGTGTGATGTTTTCTAATTTTGATAAACCACACGCCATTTCATATAAAACTGTATAATTTTTTAAAATTGTCATTCTGGAGGTTAAGGAGGAAAGTATCCTGAGGGGAAGTCACCAGACATGAGAGACAAAACAACTACAGGAATTATAAAATTGTTCCTTCGTATTCACTGAGTCCTGACAAGTGCTTCGTCAATATATCATCAAAACCAAAGACTCTAATACGAAAGATTAGGAAAGCCTGGCACAAAGCCTGAAAGGCCTGATCCCGTCCACCAACGGGATTATTGGATGGATAAGTATCTGAACAATAGATGGACGTTTTATTGAAGATTTGAATTAGCCTCACATCTCTTTATCATCTAGTGTGGATGTCGTGCTCCCACTACATCTATATATTATAGTAGTACTTTGTAAAATTAGTTCACCCTCCGGCGCCCTTCAGTATATAGCACAAATCTACATATAAATCGCTGGATCGAGGACTGGCGACAGCGAGTTTCCCCGTTCGTAGCAAGAGGCGGCCAAGGCGAAAGAGGTGTAGGAGCCAAGTTGGAATTAATAGCTGTTGAGTGACGAAGCAGCGAAAGGTTCGACAGCCCGCAGCCGAGGGGCTGTTCGGGGAAAGGGGATGAAGGGAGCAGGAGGGTCATGGGCTCTTGGTGTGTTATGGATTATCCTGTTCTTGGTGTTATATTCGGTAAGATATCAAGTATCGCTATGCTTAAAAAGAGTATGTCTCCGCCTAGATTTCTTAAGAAATTGAAGCGAATCTTTCATTTTTAATTTTTGATAACATTTTTAAACATGTTGATCGTTTCTACTGATAAGTATGGAAGATAAGCAATTCAATTCATTCGGTCTTCCGTTTACGCTCTTGATAAAAATTTACGACGAAATTAAACAATACCAAATTAAAGTGGATTATAATTAGAAACAAACATAGAATAGATGGGGTTATATTTATTTTATTCTGTACTTAGGTACCATTGCTCCTACTTTTCCTATTTCTTTACCGTCCTATTTAAGAATCATTTTTAAAAAATTATTAAATTCTATTTATGAATTGATGCCAACTGCAATATGAAATGGATACCATGATATCAACACATTTCATAAGTCAATTATGCATACATTGCAGTTTTAATAACTTTACAAAATCCCTTTCGCACATAACGAACAACAACCCTCATGCATTATGCCCTGGATACTCTCCCTTCCCAAAGCGCCATCGTTTATAATTGGAAGGCCTTTTAGATCATGCTTGGAACGTAATGATTTTTAAATTCATATTATCTATTGAAAACAATATAACTTGATATTTGCCTTCCTACTAACATCTAAAAAGTGCCTTATCGAGGACCAGGGTCCTTGACGGCGGAGAGCTGCAGGCCCTCTAACGTTATAGTTAAGAAGCCATGGTTTACAAGAATGCTCAATGTGTGGATACCCCGTAAACTCTAGATACACTCACCTCTCGTCCGACTTATCAACCTAAAATTGTGCCATTAACAAGTGAGGTTATTTGATAGCATTCAGCTTGACGCCGGTATAAGGGTCCGCGATCGATGTAAGTCAAGGTATTTTAGAAAATGGTGACAAAGCAGTAATATTTATATCCTTATTACGAATTATGTTGCATGACAATCAAACTATCTATTCATAAATGAAGTTAACAAAAGAGCCGAAGAGACGATTCTTGTAAAATAAACGCACGGGATGCTTGATATTTAGCATAAACAGGCACACCAAAGAAACAAGGTGAGCCAGATTAAAACAAGACCGAGATGACAGCAACAGAGGTCCCTGGCCACTCACCAAGTCTCAGACACCAAAGAGGAAAGAACACCCCACGTTCGGTGCTAATCGAGATGTTTCCATTAGGAATAATAACAACTCTTTCACCCAACTCTGGCATTCCTGATTGAGACGATAAAATTTTGGGCGAAAGTGAATAATACTTCAGGGGATGCATATCACAATCTAAGTTGAATATATAACCTTTATGATATGAATTCAGGGACGATATTCACAATTATTGATATATAATAAAACTTATAGATCTTATATGATATCGAGGGACGCATCATTCACAATTATTGATATTTATAAACTTTATGTGGATCAGGAGCGAATGATTCAATATGTTAGCTTAGAGTATCATAGAATTTTATATACGAAGAATCACGGCAATCGGATATTCAATAAT